TGCTCATTCCTGTCAAAAAAAAAAATGGTAAAAACTCCATGTCAAATTGTTCAGCACGAGAAAACACTGGTGATTTAACTTCGTATTCAAACGATGGATCAGAGAAGATGTTTTCTCTTTTTTTGTTCATATTACATGTTGATTAAATACTAAATTGATGTCCATACAAAAATTTTAGGTATAAATATTCTACTTATCCTACGTATCATATTATATAATACATTTCTGTATTATATACCTATCGATTCATGAATACATACAGCAGAGGAACGAGACACTTGGGTTGGTGTAATTTTGGAATCGAAAGAGCATTCTTGGATATTGGTATATTGCTTTTATCATACACTCACTTCACTTTGATTCCAGTATTTACAATAGGTGCAGGGCATTTGATTTAACGGGTGATACCTTTGGATTAGTGTGCGTTTTGTTTTAACTTTTTTTTTTTGTAATTTTCTTTGTTTTGTTTGATTCTGTCTGTGGTCTTTGTGTAGTTTAAACGTTTCTCATATTTTCCACAAAATCTCGTTTGGACATCCGATTTGGTTTTCCGTTAAATCTGTTTGCATCCAATTTTATGTTCTTTTAACCTGTGTGTCTGTATCCGCCAACCACTTGTGATACAAATACAGAACAATGGATAATATTGCAGATTTCGAGTAATAACTTCCGGTGTGTTAAGTGGTAACCCTTGTGATAAGGGGTATGACGAAAGGAAGCTTGATATCGCTTGATACATAATGGTATCCCAGACATGATACGAGGTAGTTGATGCAGACAAAGAATTGTGTCGCAATAGATTATGTCATTAGTTAAAATAGAGATGCCAGCTAGAGCGTCCGTCACAGCAAGACCAAATAATAACAAGAAATCTAGAAATCGTAAATCTTTTCCATCGTACAAAAGACTGGTGTGTTGTTTATGCAGACAAAACTACAGATTGACTTCATAAAATAATGTATTATTTAATAAAATTCCTTTTCTATAATAGTAAATATCACAAACAACTGTTTTGCAAACACGGGATGCCGTATATGTTACTATCATTGCAATTTTTTGTTTGTTAGATATTATGCCTGAGCACGGAAAGGCAACATTTGATGTGATACAGTTCCTGCAAAAGATCTGTTCTGTGTTCCAGTGTGTCGCTTTCTTTACTCTCTCATTTGGATTACATCACACGTGTGCCTTGGCAATCTCGTGCCAAGGAGTGCAAACTCTACGATTCGCTGAAACTCTTCTGCTATCCTCCTGGTGTTGGTGTATATCAATATTAATGAGCAGACTCCATGTGGCTGATAAGTTATTGATAATTTGCACTCGATCTGCTACAGCATTTAGGGTCGTATTTTGTAGAGAAAAATCCCCCATCCAGAGCTCAGTATACACTTGTGCATATCTGGAGAATTGAACGGAATTCCGATATACTATTTAATGAATTAAATCAATTGCAGATCTGCGTGACACTGCGATAAGCAATGGCATAGAATAGAATAATTTACGAATTCTTGGCAGCACATTCATTCATCATGTGTCTGATAAATCCTTTATTTTCTTTTTAAAGCTAAGTCCATATCACAAGGATCATTGAAGAACGATTTCATAGTGTCATCTCACTGAAATGTCATAACATGAACATTCTTGCAAGAACAATAAGACTGGGCGTCCAACCGAGAGCAACGAAAACCAATGTCAGAGGAATCCTCAACCTTCTTTACTTTGGACTGTGACTCGGGACAAATAGCCCAAAGGAGAAGTTTAATCACGTGTGGCACTAGGACAGAATAAAAATATATAGCTGCCTCTTGTGAACGTGAAGAGGGGACAGCAAGCAAACAGGCAGCATAGGCAGTAGGGCAGTATACATAGCAGTAAGTGAGTCAAACAAACCGCCTGTTGTCCAAATACATGAAGTCAAGTACTACGCATATTTGACATCAATGTTAGCACTAGAAGTAACACGGTACTTCTTCTAATGTAACTTGTACATCTATAATGTAACTTGTACATCTATGGTATAATTTTTAATCTATGGTGTAATTTGTACATATGTAATGTAATTTGTACATCTATAATTTGTACACTTGTACACCTATAATGTAATTTCTAGATTTATCCTGCAATTTGTACATCTATGGTATAATTTGTACATCTATGGTATAATTTGTACATCTATGGTATAATTTGTACATCTATGGTATAATTTGTACATCTATGGTATATTTTTTAATCTATGGTGTAATTTGTACATATGTAATGTAATTTGTACATCTATAATTTGTACACTTGTACACCTATAATGTAATTTCTAGATTTATCCTGCAATTTGTACATCTATGGTATAATTTGTACATCTATGGTATAATTTGTACATCTATGGTATAATTTTCAATCTATGGTATAATTTGTACATATGTAATGTAACTTGTACATCTATAATGTAATCTGTACATCAATAGTGAGGTTTGCGTTTCTAAAATACAACTAGATATGGTTTGGACATTTAAACATTGCATTACACTTATGTATTTTTTTTTCTGACAATCTATAACAACAAGCTGAAATATGTCTGCCAGATTATTGTATTTTTATCCTTGACAATATCATCGTCATATTTTGTATACAGATTCTGATGTCTGGTAATAGATAATAATCCAATTCCATCACAAGTCTGCGTGTTGATGTATACGTTCTCTTGAACAGCCAGCAATACTGCATTTCAATAGGAGATAGTTGTACTATGTCCCGCCATTGAGTGTTAATCAATTCTAATTAACGAATGTGACTTAGTGATTGGGAGCAGGTTTATTTAATAACAGCACCAAATGTTCAGTTCTGTGTGTGCTTTTTAATACATGTATAATACGACTCTCTGGTGAAGGTGGATATCTGACAAAATTTGTAAACCATGAAATCCTATTTCATCATAGGCAGCGAGAGGACTACATCTGACATCTAAATATTGTATATATCAAAAATATATCTATATTGGCTGGAAAAGTACATCATGGATACGTCTAACATATCACACTAGGTCGTCATGTTTATTCTTTATTAATTCTTAATTCTTGACACAGAGACTATTTCCGACAGTCGCGGTATTATATGACAATAGACACTTATACAACCCTAAAACAGAGCCTTATCATATGGCATCGGGGTGCTGTGGTTTCTGAGTGACATTTCTTCCTTTTAATCGGGATGATAATTTGCATATTCAGTAAATGCTTTCAACAAAATATCCATTGAGAATAAAATGGCCGCTTTTATGAAAGCATTGGAAAATACTGGAGGCTTATGAAAAATGCATGTACATCTGTTAGTGAAAAGTCTAGCTAATCATCGCCACCATTGGTGATTCACGCCGTTATGAAAGCATGTCACTACTGTTCGTCTCTGCACACCCTTTATAGAAACATTTCTTTTTCATTTCATACTGCACGTGATCCACTGCATTATCCGATCTCGAGAGTGATTGACATGATCGATCGTCCCTGATTGATTGATTGGTTGATTGATTGATCCGGAAGTAGATGATAATGGACTGAATATATTCCTTGACTTAAATCTGAGTACTGGTGCGTTACTGACGAAACAAAAACATGGTTTTGTTGATATTTTCAGTTTTCTATACTGCTGTTACATAAATGTTAAGATCTGTACATCCAACTCTAAATTGATGTCATTAATTAATAGAGCTAGTGTAATTAACTGACATAAAATTTTGTTTACGTCATCGAAATTTCATCTCAAATAGGAACAGAATGGCTAACAACTTTACAACGAACATAAAGTGAGGTTATTTAAACAAATGAATGACTTAATAGCAATGACAATTCGAGGATCTGATATGTCGTTTTATCACAGCAATATAGCTGTCACGACGCGATTCACAAATCATCGAAAAGACTAAGTGATAACATGTTTTGTAGCCCCTTGATTTGTGATATTAGTTCTGTAAACTCTAATAACACTTAAATAAAACGTCCCATATTGTACCATTTAAACCCGATATTTGCACAATAAAATTACAGACATCAACTTACGAATTTACGACATCACGACTTTGTTTGTGGGGGGGGGGTTAGTACATCGATGTGTTGTATATTGATACGAAGAATCAGCCACCATATATGACGTACATGATGAAAACGACTTGTTTGCTAAAATTTCGCATGAAAACAAAAGTGCTCGGGCTCGTTTATTTTATTTTCCTGCCGAATTCGCGTCCCATTGACTTAGTTCACATTTTATAACCAGACCTCAGCTGACTCATAACATCAAGCTAGTTACAGGTTTCGATCTATATGGCGTCCAAGTGGCTAATCGGTGGCCAGGTGAGTTCAGGCTGAAGTTGTGTACAGCGTCAGATTAATTTTAAACACGTGCTACATTTAAATGGACTCTCCCTAACTAAAGAATCTACTTTATTTTTAGACTCGGTAAAGTACATGAGAAAAACATTGACCTGTTGATCAGGTGTGAAAGTCATTAAAGCAATTAGCTTTCGTTTCATTGTAACCTTCCACCGCCAGGTAATTTAACCGCGCGTGCTGACATATGCGGTTAGGGATTTCTTTGTGACGTGAGGCAGGATTTGTAGAAATCTGATGGTGTTTGTTCCCGTCACGCCTTTGATTTTGTTGTAGGTGTCTGTTTACGCGTGTCATCATTCACCGATCAGGTGTCGTTCCGTGCTGTTTGGTCAGAATTCATTCAGCGCTCCACACACGACTCGTATGTGGGTCTAGTACACGTGCTCGGCTGTACTCGCCTGTAGCAGACGAACACTCTACATACAGAAAGTGCTATGAGATAGGGACACACCGCCAGGGACGGCACAACATTGTTCACTTCCGTTTTCCTTGAGTGACTGATATGATAAAATTCTCAACACGAATCGGATGTAATTTTTCAATATATCAGCTGGTCATAAATGGCTAGATCCGAGAAGAGGGTGGACGCGTGTTTGCTATTCTCAAACCATATCTCACACCAGACATGTTCTGAAGTGTCGTTGGTATTAGAAACACCAGATTCCATTCATTCATGGCCTGGCAGAGTACCTTGTCCTTTGTTGACAGTACAAAATGGATGATACTTTTCTTAATGTTAATGTCACAACTGAGGAATGTCACAGGTAAGTAACACATGCATAATACATCTAAAATAACCTAAATAATATGTAATTTTTATTTTTTGTTTTGTTTTGGTTTTTTATGGGTATTCATGTATTAACAATACACAAACATAACATTATTTGATATATGTTTTGGTTTCGCCATACTTTTTCTCGACTTTGTTTTATTTAATGTGTTTTTGTGTATGTAATCGGTCGGGCCTATTGGAGGGATGTCATTTTAATCTTCACATCTCCCAGTAGACTCCACGCTTAAATCAATATTGAACCAAACTGATTACGCAACTACACCATTAGGGGGAGGGTGGCGGTCCGAAGTAGAATCACAGCCGTTCTTATTTCATATCTGTCTCTGCTTTTCTTGAATATTGAATTACCAATTGACTGGGTGAATTGAGTGCATGAATAAATTATAACGGATTATAAAGTTCTGTATTATAACAGGTCAGGTAGGATGCGAGCTGGAACAGCTGTCGTGTGTGCATACATGTAAACGGTTTCATGACATTTAAAATATATATTATGAAAGATGTTTAGTCGATTTTTACATTATTTTTTAAGGTATCAAAATATTGGTCCCTAATGTCGTGTCATCGACCGCTTAGTTTGATATGTAGCATGAGCTTTAAACTGAGTTGTTTTGTAAATTATGTAACTGGGTTTATGACAGTTTTAAAAAAATACAGATTAGCATAATGAATCGAGCATTAGTGTATTGACATGTGGTTAGTTTGTCTTAGTCGCTGGGAGACACGAATGCCCGATGTTTTCATAGAAAATATGTATGTCGATGACTTTTTAAAAGAATCAATCGATTATAAAAATTGTAATAAATGTCAGCGTTTTTTTTTTTTTTTTTGTAATTAACATACACGCAAGCTATAAAGTTGACTACATGCCCACTGTAATAATACTCCCAGCTCATTTATTTACTTTTACCTAATTAGGAAACGTATTTGTTATCACGAGATCCTGATAGCTATATAACAGGAATGTCCACCTTTGGTTAACGACATCACAGACGTGGCCAACAATTATTCAAAACACTAGCTAATTATGTAGATTTCATGCAATCAATATTCATTGAGCGTTCCAATAATTGAATTAAGACTGTTCATCCTGGTGGTCATTATAAGGACAGGTTGTCGGTTGGTAGACCCCTCCAGGTAAACAGTAGATTATCATGTGTTGATCGATGTTATCAAACCGATCGTCACCTGTCTCACGTGACAAACTGACACTCGTGTGTGAAATGGACACGGTTGTTGATAGTGACATCATATTAATTAAAGGTAAGAAAATGTTGACATTGTAACTATTAATCAATATGTGTGAGGGGGGAATTCTCTGTGCTTTTACTGCCTGTAAGCAAACGTGGACTGATATGCCTAAAGAGCATGTGTTAACACCGTAAGATATTGGCGTAGTTAAAGCTGGTGGTTATCGAGTCAGATCGAGTTTAACACTGAAGCGGAAATATTGCTTAACATTTTTCGTTCTCGACAAAGACTTGTTACAAAATAGATATCTGTTATTCAGGTGTCTGCTTTCCGTGTCAAACATAGAAAAATCATTTATATTTACAACGATATATGACAATCATATCAATGGCGGTTTTAGAATTAGAACTATAGCATTGGGTATTAACTTGAAAATTCTCCCTTAAGTATGTACAAACTCAACAATTTCTATCTCGGGTGTCCGGCAATGTCCTTCAGGAATCAGCAGAAGTGGGATGGGTTGGTCTAATAATATCTTATATGAGATAAAGTTCCATACAGTTAACTGCATACAAATTTTATGTCCCACTTGATTAAACCTAAGTACATGTAGTGTTGAGCTCAGTTAATAAGTCATTAAAATTAATCATCTTAGCCTTACAAAGCCCTGACATTGAGAATGATCTATTTTATTAATGGCGGATATCGTTATCTCTTACTTATAATTTTCTCAATAAGTGCACTTATATAATGACAGTTTCCTGTACATTCTGTGATCATTGCGTTGTAACGGTTTTTAAAGTGATTGAATCACCCGGAGGTGCTAAAAGGTGTGTTATATTGTGTCGAGTCATACATCGTCACTTATACTTCTGACAATACAACGGAAACATACAGAGTAACCCTACCCTTTATATATATATAATCACGAGATAATTTCCCGTGAAATCACACTGCAATATTTTATTACAGGGTTCGAGAAAGGATGAGTTTACTAAGGGTATCGCGTACAAAAATCCCGGGGGTTGGTCTTTTTTATTTCTGCTCCCCGCTATCCCTATATTTGTATTTATAAAAGTATATACATTAGATTGTGTATTAACAAGGAGACTTCGTGTTATAACGACAGGGATTTGCGCCAGGGTAAACACGAGAAAATTATAATTTTAAGTTAGGGTATATGTTTTAAACCCAACGTTTTGTTTGACATTTTCGTGGGTTCACTGAAGAGGAATGCGGTAGAATGGCTACTAACATGCACCTTGGTACATACCCAATGTGAGTGCAGTGACATTTTACCACACTGTTCTCTAAAGAGTACCCGCTTTGTTCATAATATGTTACGTCATACTTACAAACCGTGTTCATGTTTGATTTTATCACAAAACATCTCTGCTGTAATTCTTTGTAAGGCATCTATAGAGATAGTGATCAGTAAGTTTAAACAAAGACCGTAAAATATAACGTGTGCAAATAGATATCGAATTTGTAAGCATTTGTTGACACGGAAATGAAGAAAAACTGGATAATTCAGTCAGTATATATATATATACCTACGTATGTACAGAGGGATGGGCCCGTTGTGGTGTAGGCGCTGTGAATAACCCTTTAGGCCTACCTGTGTCAGACACAATTTGTAACCTGGGCTTTAAAAAAGTAAACAATCCGTGCCCAGGTGGGGCGTCAGGTACTGAAATACAACACAGATATGTATGGAATATTGGATGGTAATTTTTGAGTTGTTATAGAAAAAGAAATATATATATATATATATATATATACATGATATCATTCCTGCCCATGATTGATTTGTCATTTTCATGAAAATAAAAAACAAAACCGCGTATCTTCGGATTATTATTTTACCATGTGTCATTAGCCAAGTTTCCACAACATTAGTAGATTTAAATACTTGTTTTTGGGGTGGGGGGATTTGGAGATCGGATATAAGCCTGTTGATGATGGATAAGATATTATGTTTGGTATTGATTAAAAAACAAGACCATACGATCATGTCAACAAAAACATGAAAATACAAGAAAAAGGAAAAATTTTCGGATTCATGAAAAAAGTAAATGGGATGTGTTTAGATCGGTCCAAAAATAAATAGTGTTACGTTTTGCAACTGAGATCCAGTGCACCATCGATATCACCACACACTTGCGTATTCAAAATAGAACCATATATATTTTTTATATTACAAGGAGGTAATCTGACTTATCGCATAATTCCCTCATTATCTTTACATTCATCTGCATCTTCTTAAAGCTTAAGTGTTGTAAGCTGTCAGCAGCGGACATCTTTTACAATAACAGTGATATTGAGAACATACCGAATCAAATGACACGCATACATTTGTATGTATTGAAAAATGGAAAATTCTCAACAGGAAAGTTGTAATCGGTATGATGAACTATTGTCTCAGTACATATCTGTTCTGACCACTTCACTATGAAATATATTCGAATGTTTGATACTGAATATCGTGGTTGACATGGGAGATTATGTTTATTATTGAAGATCGTGGTTGACGTGGGAGATTATGTTTATTATTGAAGATCGTGGTGTGTTTATCATTGAGGATCGTGGTTGACATGGGAGATTGTGTTTATTATTGAAGATCGTAATTGACGTGGGATATTGTGTTTATCATTGAAGATCATGGTTGACGTGGGAGATTATGTTTATCATTGAAGATCGTGGTTGACGTGGGAGATTATGTTTATTATTGAAGATCGTGGTTGACGTGGGAGATTATGTTTATTATTGAAGATCGTGGTTGACGTGGGAGATTATGTTTATTATTGAAGATCGTGGTTGACGTGGGAGATTGTGTTTATCATTAAAGATCGTGGTTGATAAGGGAGATTGTGTTTATTATTGAAGATCGTGGTTGACATGGGTGATTGTGTTTATTATTGAAGATCGTGGTTGACCTGGGAGATTGTGTTTATCATTGAAGATCGTGGTTGACGTGGGAGATTATGTTTATTATTGAAGATCGTGGTTGATAAGGGAGATTGTGTTTATTATTGAAGATCGTGGTTGATAAGGGAGATTGTGTTTATTATTGAAGATCGTGGTTGATATGAGGATTGTGTTTATTATTGAAGATCGTGGTTGACATGGGAGATTATGTTTATCATTAAAGATCGTGGTTGATAAGGGAGATTGTGTTTATTATTGAAGATCGTGGTTGACACGGGAGATTATGTTTATCATTAAAGATCGTGGTTGATAAGGGAGATTGTGTTTATTATTGAAGATCGTGGTTGATATGAGGATTGTGTTTATTATTGAAGATCGTGGTTGACATGGGAGATTATGTTTATCATTAAAGATCGTGGTTGATATGAGGATTGTGTTTATTATTGAAGATCGTGGTTGACATGGGAGATTATGTTTATCATTAAAGATCGTGGTTGATAAGGGAGATTGTGTTTATTATTGAAGATCGTGGTTGACATGGGAGATTATGTTTATCATTGAAGATCGTGGTTGACATGGGAGATTGTGTTTATTATTGAAGATCGTGGTTGATATGGGTGATTATATAACTATCACTGATTAGTAGTAAGTTGTTTCTGGTATTGAATATTACGCTAACTATTGAATTGATTGATAATGAAGAAAATGCATAGTGTAATTATGCGAGACTGTATTTTAACAGTGTGTAGATTGATCATTATAGGTGTATGGAAACTGTGTACAATTTAATTTCATTTTAAAGTGTTCTAAGTATAGTTAATTTGAAGGCAACGTACAATTATACAACGGCTA